TGGCAGGGCCTGGTCGTGGAAAGTGTCACTCGCAGACTAGGATGTGCCACGTCAGATCTTTGTTCCTGGCGCCGTGCTGGACCTGGCGAGCAGAGTATCCGTTCACTGGACCTGCACCTATCCCTCTCGAGGGAAGCGGGCGGGCGGGCGGGCGGACGGGCTCCCCAAAAAGTTTGCAAAATTGTCATGGAACGCAAACGCTGTTGGGCGCCTGGCTCTATGTGATTTGCCAGCTGGTCGAGATGTGCTTCGTGAGACGAACCGGGGAACCGCATTCATAGAGCCGGTCGGGAAGTTTCCGTTTGCTTCTGAAGGGTGTGGATTTGTTGTTTATTGGTGCACGGGTCACGAAGGCGTGACATGTCTTAATTCCGTCGCATTTTGCAGTCATGTGTTCGGGGATCGAAGAGGAAAGGGGAAAAGTCTTGAAGCTCAGCCCGAGCAATATTGCGCATTCTTGGGAATCGATTTGCTTTGCGCCTCCCAATACAGTATGGTGCCTGGGCGAGCCCGGGAAAGACAAGAGTCGAGATGCTCGGAAGGTCTCTTCTCATTTCAAATCCCTCGGTTTGATTTGCACATGGGTGACGCCAGAGGCTTTGCCCCAATCCGTGTTCGTCCGCGATTTCAGCTCAACGTGAAAAGGGAGAGCAACCTGGACTTTCTTATAAGTCGTCATACATGGGTATGTATGTAGGGCAGCTGGAAGTCAATAAGTCAATAACGTCGCTTGGGCCAACCATGAATGCTACCAGCTTTCCGGCTCATGTACGTACCTTTCATGGTAAACAGACGCCAAGGTTTCCCTGCTCGTCCTAGTTAGACCTCTAGCGGTGTCTCTGAACTTCTGGAGGACATGGAAGGCTGAGACACAGGGCATTTGGTGTTGATCCAGACGAGCCGCAAGTCACAACAGAGTGCCTGTCGATCAAGGGAGGACTTTGAGCTGAGCTAGCCGCATCGTGTGTTTACTTGCGATGGTATGCGGCACGGCTTCAGGCTTCAGATGAAGGCTACCTCGAGCCCAGGAGCAAGGAAGATGGAAAGCCCGTTCATGGGATAGGGACGACTCGGATTGGTCGCCAGACGGGCAGTACTTCAGTAGCTATCGCCATGTCGTAGATTGCTGGAATTGGCGCTGCGGGAGGCTGCAAAGGCTGATAAAGAGACCTGGTTGCAAACGGAGGGAATCCGGGGTCAAGTGCAGAGGCGCGTTTGTTTGCATTGGATGTTGGTCGTCGGAAGGCCTCGATCCCGTTTCTTCTCATTTCTTCTTCTCTTCTTTTCCTTCTCGTAGATTGGCAGCACAAGAGAGACATGTTTCCGATGGTCCATGGAACCAGTGGATCGATCGAGACTTCTTCGACGACCGGGCAATTAGTGACGACTGACTCCCACCAGCGACGAAGGAGCCGAGATGGGGGACGTCCGGAGATGCTTTTCTCTTCGCCATGATCCGCCAGGCCGGATGTTGGAGATCTCGAAAGACGGGAGTCTCGTGCTTCCTCTTCACCTCGAACAAGTGTGACCGCAATTTACCACTGCCTCCGCCGGCCGTTTTTTGTGTCGCCAATGCAGAGGGCGTGTGATTGTGTACCTCTCTCAGGCAGACAGGAGATCAAACGGGCCAACCACCCAATGACCCATGTTGCACCATCGTCGGTTGCCGTGGCTGTGGTCGCGTTGAGATTTGAGATTTGGCGGTCATGAAGAAACCAGCCATGCGGACGGAGCTCGTCATGCAGCAACGTGGGTCCATGATTGACTGACTGACTGACTCCAAGTAGCGGTCTCTATTGCAGAGATGAAGAAGAGAAAAGTAGAGCGCTTCACCGACTCATTGGCAATGGCCCGGCGACGAGGGTGAACTTGTGAAGTATCCGTACGGCCCGTCTTTTTTCTCCCTTCCTTTGGGTAGGGACGCATGGACAGATGGCGGGAACTGGGGCCAACGACCCGATCAAGACTCGTTTGCTGTACAAGGCGACATGGGTTGTTGGCGATGTGGTTGACTGATTGACAACGTTTTTTTTTTCCTTTCTTGGTTTTTGTACAGTTTCATCCCCCGTCGTCTTCGTTATTCTTTTGTGCGAGTATCGTGTTTTCCTTATGCGCGCATCCACATGAAATGAGTTCTGTACCTGGCCACATTGCACTATACTGTCGATTCCGTCCCCAGGCCATCGTTACGACTGGCAAACAACTTGTGCCTTGAGGTTCAAGGACGGACGGCCCTTCCTCACAAGTTCAGACGACAACACCCACTTGCCAAAGGTTGAAGCAGGGGGATCCACTCGGGCTGGCGAGCCCAGGGCTTGTGTATGTCCAATGAGACATTGTATTATGGTGGGTCTATAACCCTTCCGGGACGAAAAGCTGCCAGCATATGAAGGTCCAGTGGATAAGGTACTTGCCAAGTTGCCAACCATTCCGATTCCAGGAATGTAGTTGGGAGTACGTATCCAAGATAGAGCAGCCCTGGTCTCGCTAGGAGCGCATTCCCCACCCCCGACCGCCTCCAACGTGTTGTGGACTTGAACAGGTTCCAAGGTGGTCCTGGTGCCGGGCCACTACCGCGATGTATTGCTGCCACCGCCGCTGCCACCGCTTCCTGCATTTGCAACCCGACCCTGCTGGGCTGGAGAAACGATGGTCGTGAGCCTGTCACTCATGCCGATTTCTGTTCAATCTGACGGATCTGACGAATGCGGCAAGGACGGCTGGGTGTGTAGGAAACAGAGGGGGCACGCCGGCATGGGGGGAAGTAATTATTGGAGAAAGAAGAGAAAAGAAAGGATGCCCTCTCTCTCTGTTTCCCAGCTTAGTTATCCATACCTTCCTCCTTCTCAGCTATTTCGGATCCGGACCTTGAATTTGCACATTCACCACTTCATGTCCACAACTGGCTCGCATGTCCTTCTTCAACTTCAAGAAGCTTCTTTCCTGCACCTACCTTAGCGTTTATTCATCGTTCCAAGACGCCCTTCCGATAGAGCAATCGCCTTTGAGCACGCGCTTGATTCCCAAAAAAAAAAAAATTCCCACGACGCGACTCTTTCCCGTCACCCAACGGATCTCAACGATCCGACCTCACTCACCACATAAAGGTAGCCAACCCCCCTACCAAGAGTTCCTCCACCTCCGGCGCAGTATTAGAAAGTATTTTAACACCTATTTCTTGCTCAGTCTTACCTTGGCCTTGCTGTTCTTTTGCTACCTAGCACAGACGCAGACTCACCAAAGTGACTTGACTTACACGACGCCAGCAGAACCACACCAGTCTCGCCAGCGTCGTCCTTGTCATCGCCGCCCTCACATCCTGCTTGCTCCTACGAATACACCATCCCTCAACCATCGCCGCACGTGTACATATACGTCACGGCCCTGCTGCATTTGTCTCTAACAACCTTCTCTTGGGTTGTTGTTGGAATTGCATTGCATCCCACCCTCATTCCTCACCTCGGGCTCTTCATCTTGTTTGCCCAATCGAGCTAGCGCCCATCTAATCCCCAGGTCTTAATTTGGCACACCTGAATCACAAGCTTACGGCCCTCAGCGCGCTCGACGGTGAGCCACCCGCCCTCCACTTATATCGTCACCACACCCGCCTTGGCCGCCTTTCCAATCCATCTTGCTTCAGTCCGACGCCGGCATCTAGACATCGCGGCTCGGCCTGCTACTGAGCAGTTGAGCACGGTCTGATCGGCCCCAAGCTACACCCACACACACACCCGGCCGGAGCATCCTGAAATATCACGCTATGGCACCCCAAAAATTCGCCAGTATGCGCTTGAAGTCCCGGCCTACGCTCGTACCTTTCAAGGACGATGCTAGCCTCATTGCCCTTCGCTACGAGAAGACGGTCCAGGCAGAGCCTCCCATCCCTATTCTTACACGACTTCCCCAAAGATCTCACTCTTGTTCAACACGCCGAACTTCCACTTCTGCATCATCATCGACCTTCTCGAGTCCGCCCTCCAGCCCTGTTGTTGTTGTTCCTCCGCCCGCCATCGACCAGCATCCTGCGTTTCGTTCCCGCGCTGCGGCCCGCAATACTACGGTAAACGATTGGAAGAGAGATTCAGGGCTGGCACCTTCTGCATCGCCTTCAACCACTATTGCAGAAGAGGACTGCGAGGACGAAGAGAGTCGTGCATGCGCCAAGATTGCTGCTCTGGGGGCCAACACGGCTGTTGTGCAACAAACGGAACAACCTGTGACACCACCGGTTTGCGAAAGTACTTCCGTCGATGAGTTGGTTTTGAGCAAAAAAATCTCTGGTCGTTGGTCCACGCCTTGCATCGGCAAAGAGGTCAATAGCATGGATCATTATCAAACTGTGCAGGTCGAAATTGCGGTTGCGGAAAGAAAGAAATCTGGGAGTCTTAGCAGCACCTTATCGGTCGATTCTCCCGTTGAGTTGCGGGACAAGAGTCTGGGTGACCTATCACCTGCATCGGCGCCAATCATCTCCCATTCGCGGTCCTCATTTGCAGCCTCCGATGACTCGCCTAATTTCTCCCCTGTCAACATCCACGAAGACTTCCAACTCCTGAGCAAGGATGCCTCTTACTTCTCTCCCATTTCAGTGTCCATCCCCACGGACAACCTCCTCGAAGATGACTTCTTAACAACTCTGTCTTTCTCCAATCGAGGCAGTCTCATGTTTGGTGGTCTTCGCGCGTTCCCCGCACAAACCACCGACGGAACAATGGATGGACAGTCGCAAACGGACAAAGCCCACGCGCCTCCGCCAGACCCCCCTGCTGATGCCCCTGCATCGGTCCCCATCCTCCACATTCAATACGAAGAGCCGCCCCAGTCCACTGCCGTCAGCACCACTGAGACCAGCGCGAACCACTTGAACGCCACCGACACAAACACAACCGAAGCAACGACGGAAGAGACGACCACGACTGACGCAACGACGGCAGAGACGACTGCAGAGTCGGCCTCGCAAGCCACAATGACGACCCCCAGCATCTGCGTCTTGTCCGCGGACGTGGAGATGGAATCTCGAAAGGTGAGATCGCTCTATGAATCCGGCGAAGGCCTCAGGTGGGAAGACGGAGCCCGACCGTCGGATGTTGGCGAGCGTCTCAACTCGACCGCCGAAACTCCGACGGAGGAGGTCGAGAATGATCCGTATGGTTTCCTTTTGCCCGGATTGGTGCCCAACCAGTATGCTAATGTGTGTTCTCTCTGCAGCGTCGCCGAGCTCCAGCCTCCCGTTTGGGGAACTCCAAGATCTGGAAGTTCTTATTCCCAACGACCCGAAACGCGCAGCGAGTATGAGGTGGCCGGTGGTCTCGAAGACTGGGAAGACCTCGAGGGATACGACATCGACCGTTACGGCTTCATCAGTCCGCGCAAGCCAGAGAAGAGCAACGGCACACCCGCTGAACCTAGATCGTCGCAGTCGGCGCCCAGAAGGAAGCACGTCTTTTCCAAGCGGGATGCCTTTGGTTTGGGCTTGCCATCCAGAGGACCCAGTAGGAAGGTGTCCGCTAGATCGCTCAACACTCAAGGATCGAAGGCTTCGGTTGCGTCTCGTCGGTCGACCCGATCCGCAATCAGACAAGCAGGAAATCTACTCCCACACAACCGCGATCGACGATGGATGGACGAGGCTGGAGAAATGCTTTCGCTTTCATTGGGCGATGAAGAGAAGGTAGAGAAAATTTCCGAGGCCATCAAGAAGAAGGAATGGGAGAGGTCTGAAAAGTGGCGTAAAATGGCCAAGATCGTTAAGAAGGGGAAAGACGGCGAAGGCATGGAGTTCGATTTCGATGTTAAGAACCAAAAACTCATCGACAGGACGTGGAAAGGCATCCCCGACCGATGGAGAGCATCTGCCTGGTATTCGTTCATGGCAACTAGCGCCAGAGCTCACAAGGACTCCCCGTCTGAGGATTCCATCATCACCGACTTCCATCGCCTTCAGTGCAGAGGCTCGCCAGATGATGTGCAAATCGACCTGGACGTCCCTCGTACCATCAGCAGGCACGTCATGTTCCGGAAGCGTTATCGAGGTGGTCAACGCTTGCTGTTTCGAGTCTTGCACGCGTTATCGCTTTACTTCCCGAATACTGGCTACGTTCAAGGCATGGCTTCGTTGGCAGCGACGTTGCTCTGCTACTTTGACGAAGAGAAGTGCTTCGTCATGCTCGTACGGATGTGGCAACTACGGGGCCTAGAGAAGCTGTACAGTCCTGGCTTTGACGGCCTGATGGCGGCTTTGAATGACTTTCAAACCAAGTGGCTGGATGGCAAGGACGTCGCCAAGAAGCTGGTGAGACATCCACGCGTTTCTGAACCGATGACTTTAGACTGATTTTTTTTCTAGACTGAGCTCTGCATCGATCCTACAGCCTACGGTACTCGATGGTACCTAACACTATTCAACTTATCCATCCCTTTCGCGGCTCAGCTCCGCGTTTGGGATGTCTTCCTGCTTCTTGGAGAAAACCCCACAGACTCCCCCAAAGTTCCTGAATCTCCCGTCACCATGAACGGCATTGACATTCTGCACTCTACCAGCGCGGCTTTGATTCACGCGCTGCGGGACGTTCTTCTTGACTCGGACTTTGAGAACGCCATGAAGGCTTTGACCTCCTGGATTCCGGTCAAAGATGAGGATATCCTCATGAAGGTGACACGAGCCGAGTGGAAGGCCCGACAAAAGAGGAAGTAGAAGGTCTTATTTTTGCCGCCTGCTTGAGCTTCGGTCGGCCGGCTCATTCCCACATTTCCTTTGTTATTACACCACAACCTCCGATTTATGGATATGCGTGCAAGGCGTTTATGGAGTCGGTCATGTTGACTTCGACGCATGTCGTCGACCAATACCCTGGGATGAACTGCAAACCTCGTATCTGCTGTTATGGGGGATTTCATTTGTGCACTCGAAACGAACGAAACGCTGGAGAAAGCCACGTGGGTTGCGGGAAGCAGAACCAGAAAAGCGATGCGAGAGGAATGGAGCCGCAGCACGAATTTTTCATATACCCTTTATGCCATACAATAGCCTGGTGCCACCTTCATATACAGCATCAAATCAATATATAATGTGTTATTCGAGTATACGTTGATCCCAACATCGTCTCAGTGTCTACTCTACCCATGCCAAACAGTCTTGAGGACATGGCCAAGCCTGATTCAATGATCGCTTTATCGCACCTTGTAGTCCGCCTTCTTTCCGTGCCGGTACAGCTATTAATAATGAGCCCCCTCTGTGTTAAGAGGGTTATGGGATCTCAACTTGCTGTTATCTCTGAAATTGCTCAGATTTTCCGTTTTTGTTTGTCGTTGCGGAATATGTGAGAGATTGGGATAAGGGAGTCCCTCACGATATCAGTACGAAGCTGACTGCATCATGTCGGACCTTTTGTTATGACTTGGTCAACAGAGAGGCCAGATACTTCCAAGCTGAGCTGTTCGAACACAGATCCATCGGCAGAGAATTTAGGCATCGAAGGTTGGTATGGACCGCACAAACGGCCCTGCCTAGTGCCTTGATCTTCCATATCCTGTCTCACATCCGCTACGATAAATGGGACTTTCACTTGGTGCCAGAAGAAGGTTCGTTGCCCTGTTCACGTCTATATCAACACGGGCTGATTCGGGCCACGATCAATCACGAGATGTGGACTGTGTGTAACAATTGTGTGACGTTTGCAGGTGCGCTGATAACTTGGATATGGATGACTTCAAGCAAGAGGCCATGGCTGAAGGTACACCGGAGGATTGAGACACTGTAGAGGCTGTGTTCTCGAGGGTGCACCAAGCCAAGATCGCCAAAACTTTGGCCTGGTTGCAATAGGCAAACAAGTGAGCTGGGATTCCACGATTCGGTGTAACGATTGCGCCCGTTCACGATGAAGTCTCACATCAACTAGACTTTATGATGTCAAATGGTTTCGCAGAACAGGCATCGACGCGAGTTGTAACGTACTGTTTACTAAACCGACGAGTAAGGCGGGACACAAAGCTGAAGCACTGTCATCTTTGATCTTCAAATTCGCCGAGCAGGATTTTGATAGTAGCGCTGACAGCCTGACCACGAAAGACGATCGATCGTACATATCTTAAGAACTATCATATTGAACGCATCCAAACTGAGCTATTAGAACCATAGTCAATACCCTCTAGACTTGTTCTCCTTATCAACCACAGCGCGCACACGCACCCAAAACGAAGTATCCTCAGATATCAAAGCAACCGTTGCGCCTTCCAAGATGCTCCAGAACATCCTTTTCCTCGCCCTCGTACTTGCAATTACAGCATCAGCGGCTCCCCTTGACGACTCCAGCCACCTGAACAACGCCGCCTCGGAGCTCTTTAAAGGACGACAGATCACCCCTCCTCCTTGTATCCCATACATCAAAACATTGAAGCACGGCGACGGGAACCCCAAGAAGAAGTTCTTACACAAGCAAGTAACCGTGAGTATAAAAAAAATGAAAGCTTTCGCAACTTCCAGCTTCTAATTAACGTATCAGACTACGCACAAATGCACCGACGGCCCATGCGGCATCGAAAAGGAGGATAGCGAGACCTACACAATCGAATGGAGCGCCTCCATCACCGACCCGCGAGGCTTCTTCAGCGACGGCTTCGCTGTCTCCGAAGCCATGACCACGGGTGAGACGAAGGTCTGCAGCAACCGCGATGGCACGGAGAACCAGTCGCTCTAAGTGTGGTGGTCGCTTGCGCATACCGAGTACGAGGTCCAGGACTGGGAGATGTCGGGGGGCGGAAGCTCCAAGCCTAAGGGGGGTGTATACAAGATCACGGCGCCAAATACGGATGACGGGGAGAATACTTCGTATTGTGTGAGGAATAATTGTAGGGGCAATGGGGATGAGTACTGGGCGGATAACTAAGCGGTACGGGCTGATAAATTTGGGGATCATGCGCAGCCAAGTCTGGTACAGTTCTTGTTGATAATGCTCTTTTGGCTTTTGATCAGTTAATGAAAACAGGTGACCGAGATAGTGATGAAGATTCTGTTGAAAGTAGCCGCCATCACTTTGTCGACGCAGGGCAACGACGCTTACACTGGCTCAAGGATACTCTTCTGTATGTATTCGAACCATCGTTCTTGCTGCATTTATTTCACGTCTTACCCTGTTCTCAAGACGGTGTGACAATTGAGGTGTCGTTTGCAAGTATACAGATAAGTTAGGTATGGTTATCAAACCCCTCCCGGAATGGTAACTGGGAAAGCAAGACGCAGAATGACAGTACCTGGATCAAGCAATGGAACTTAATAAACGCAACGTCTTTTAGTATTAAAGGCTTCGGATATTGTCTCTATCTGCAATGTGCAGTCCCTAACCGATATGACAAAGTGTAACATGCAAACCAGGCGCAAAATGAAGGAGTTCAAAACCTTGCAGTTTTCTCCCACTTCCTCTATTTGACATGAACCTGCTTCGTCAAATTAGTTGATCGTACCTCGCAGAACCTGTTCCACCTTGAAACAAGCTGCAAGTTCACCACAAACAGTATGCCAGACTCCTATCGTCACGACATCGTCACCCACCAAGACAGAAACATCAAAACACTTCAAAAAGACGGCAAAAACATACAACACCAGGTATTCGCTGGTCGTCACCGACCCAACTACTAATCCGGCCCTCATTGGCTTATCTATGGGAGAGCGGACGGGATCCCGAGTTTTCCAATGGGTATGGTCGTATGTGCCAGCCTACGAAGCCAAAATTGACTATACTCCACGATAGCGCACCAGCCACTTATCTCGAGTTTTGCCACGACTTTGAAGGAGTACTTGCCCATAGCTGGTTTCTCATTTTTACTGCATCTACTTCGTCTGTAACTCTTATTCTTCGAGACTTGGGTTGAGCATGTGGCTTATATCAAGGAAGGTGCTCTGGCTTGCCAGACCGACCATGGCTCACACCACGTCTCTAGACACGCATTACCTTATTCTCTTTCAACTTCCAGAAGGAGTCCTTTAGCAGTGAAGGCTTCCTCAATGAAAGTTAGCTCAAAAAGGTAAGGCGTTTTTGGAGATCTGCCTCTTGGTCGTGTTGCTTCCTTTCCTCATAATGTGTAAGAATGTCAGGCAGTCCAGGATAGCAGCGTAATGGCCCGACAGACCACAAGCATGTTTCAGAAGAGTCACACAGGAACGATTACGCCACTGGTGCATTCATAGGAGAGATCTTAATGAGATTAGGAGATGAAGTAGAATGCTGTGATATGCTATTTCCTACTCAGTTTGATTCCATCCATACACATGGCGTCTTACGCGACTTACACTTAGCACATGGTTCTCAACCATACTAGGTAGTTGCAGCGATCTAGATAGGAGGTATCCAAGTCTTCATCATCCCCCATAATCTTAGTATTATCCTCGCTATCAAGACAGGCTTCGGTACATTTCATATAGAGTATCCATGCTAATTCCTCCGGTTGCCAATTTACCACTGCTTCCCCAGAACCCCCATGCCTAGTTGACGATGTCACCTCAATATCCGAGACGGCGAAGCAGCAATCTCGTCGAAAAACCGTGAATTCCGTTCAATAGAGTAAATGTCCGCAGATGTATTCCAAGCAAGATCCAAACCCAACTCGGTGGCGGCTGTCCTACCTAATTTCACGTGGCCCCCAAGGACAAAAGAGGCGCTCCTGTATACGGTGTAGCCCTAGCCTTTCCAAGTGGGTGACACGATAGGTTGCCGTCTGTGGTACCTTCACTCTACTTCCAGAATGCCTGTTACAGTTCCTGCCACAGCTACCTACTAGTGTTATGTCATGTTTTCTGTATATTCAGTAGAGCATACACCTCAGACAGCATATTACGGTGCCAATGATACTGGGAGTGGTAATAAGAAGGCGACCACGTGTGTGGACCGGCATTCTATTCCGTCTTCCACTTGCTTGCTTTCCCGATCTGGTGCTGGTATGTGCTCAGATCTTCAAGCCTCCATGGCTCGCTTGATACTCTAATTCTCCTGGCACTGGGGTAATGTCGTATGACTTTGAGAGAAAACCGGAATTCGGTCGTTGAATTCCCTGATAAGATGCGTCGTCCGCTTTTCGATGAGGGAAAAGATCAGCAATAGCCCATCTCCAACTTCCAAGACTCCAACATGGGAAGAGTAAACCCCACCTGCTCCGACATCAGGTTTTTGTATTGTGTATATGGCTAGGCATTCCTGACAGGTCGGTAAAAGTTGCAAAGTTGCATTCGACGGATGATTTTCCAAAATCGGGTTGATAAAGGGTCGGCCGCCTTTGAGGGTAGTATCTGCCAATCTGAATCGTTGATGGTCCATGCATGGTAGCCCCCCAAACTTCCCGAGCCCCAAGTGATGCGTCAACGAAAGAGGTTTCACAATCGAAGGGTGGACTGAAGGACGCTGGTCGCATGGACGTGGAGAACAGATTGCGAACTTTCAAACGAAATGTTGCAAATAATTTATCGTGGTTCTTGACGCTATGGCATCGCTGGACCTTACAAATAACCGAGTCAAGAACGCCTGAGGTGCTACGCCGGGTAGTATTGAATCGAGTCATTCCATCTAGTGTAGCCAAGTGAAAGATTCCAAGATATCAAGGTAAGACATACTACTCTGTACCACACACTGTATTTAATGTGCCGTGTGAGCAATTTGCTCGCGTCGTCTTACACCGCAGCGCAGCAAACTCGCTTTTGCTAAGCGCCAACAAAAGACAGACGCCCGAAGCGCACAGGCAATGAGTTCAATCTTGTACCACTCACAGAAAAAAAAAAAAAAGGGTACGGACGCCGGCCGGCCCTCTGGGTTTCGGTTCTCAACACGGCCCTCCCCCGTCCCGAGGCTCCCCGCCTGAGTTAGCTTACACCTCACACCCCCACAGCGCTTGAACTCATATCCGTGCGCGCCGCGCCATCACCACCGGCCGGCACAGGGCAGCCCTATATGTGGCGGATCCTTAAGACGAACCTCACCTATCCGTACGAATGCCCCCTTCCCTCCTGCAATAGCCGAGATATACACTTTCGGCCCAGGTAGTCAAGTCAAGCCAAGCCGAGCCAAGCCGAAGCTGATTCGACAGTCGAACGAAGAGATAACGGTGCGCGGGTTCCTTGCTGAACTAGTATCACGTTTCGCATGCCATCCCATTTCATAGTTCCATATCCCGGGACCTTCATCTTCGATTTGACATGATTACGCCTTCGTGCCACCGCGTCCGTTTCTAGACGTACGTATCCGTACGTCTCTCGATTTATCCATCCCCAGTCATCGGTATTGTACGGATTGGGTACAAACAAACAAGCATTTAGGAGGTTACACCCCTCTCTCACTCTCTCTGTTCCTCCGTGCCCATGCCTGCCCGCCTGTTGTACAGATATCGTGACCCCTACCTCATATTCAACAAACAACACCGCAACTACCTTTCTCGACCCCAAGCGTAAAGGAGAAATTGCCCGCAGGCGAGACGGGGAAGTGGCATCTACAGAAGAAAGGGCAAATTCCATTCATACCCAACTGCGCATTCTGACACTCGTATACCAGGTAGCACCGCCAGGACCGGTCAGATTCCCAATCAGGAAATCAAGCCCATAACCCAGTTCGTTAAGTTACCCACGCCCAAAAAGTCTCGAACACTGATGATGAAATCCAAAACAAATGCCCACATTCCTCTTCGTCAGGAGGAGCGACGATTCGACGAATGGAGATCTCTCTGACGTGTCAAGTCGAAAGTAGAGAGACACCAAAAAACAAACGAAACGAAGCTACGGACAATTAATTAGACTTGCGTCAAAGTCAGGGCTGGCGGGCCATTCTTTTCGAGAACCTAGCTGTCATGCTGGTAGTGGTTCCTGCCCCCATCCGGGAAGGACACATGGAATGGAAGCGAATACCTGCCATTGTTTCGGGTTGAATCAGAATTGGGACCTGTCCTGCGTAAAAAAAAGTCTTGCCCCGCTCAAGTATACTTACCTGAGATACCCGGCCTCACGTAGCGCCAAATCCTGTATCCTGAATTGCTGGCTACCTTCCCGCGTGTGCATTGCTCCTGGCAACGGTTCTCTTCATTGCCTCATTGCTTTTTCCACGTTGAGAGCACGCAAGCCAAAAAGGACCACAAAATTAGCTACATTTCGTTACTCCATAGTCAGTGCAGATGAACAATCCATTCAACAAGAAACCTGACGCTGAGTCGACCAATATCAACGACGCGGTTGAGCGCCCCATGTGGCACGCACTCATGCAGTCACCCGGTTTCGAGACGCACTGTCCCCAACCCGATCCGCGCGTACAGAAATACACCAAGAAAAAAAAAAGAAGAAAAAAAAAGAAAAAAAAAAGACGTCAATCGCCCAATCGTCTCATCATCCAAGACCATGTTCGCCCAGACAAGACTTGAGAAAATCCGCGCCTACACTCCGTACAGGCTTAGACTTGCCTCGGGTGTGCACCTTGACCTTGGCCAGATCGGGGAGGGGACGTAAGGAAGCCAGGCACAAAAACCCTCCCCCAACGCAATCAATATTGTGGGAATGGAGGAAAAGGGAGCGAACCTCATTACCGACGTCGACGCAACCTCGAGGTCCGGGCACCCGACACGGGCAATCCGCCCCATGGCCACCCACGGCGGCGGGCGACGGGCGGAAGGGCGGCGGGCGACGGGGCCCACCCGGCAGCTAGACTCCACCGGGCGAAAAAAAAAAGAGGGCGGGCCATGATTACCCATTACCACTGAGGGAAAAAAAGAAGAGACGCCCGGACACCTAAGGAAGAAAAAA